GGCCGATTACTATCCGCATTAAATAAGAAAGTACACAATCATCTTAATATATGAGTTAATTAATTTCAACAAGAGAGGCTACTTTGGCAGCATGTTGCGTCAATTAATCAACCCAAATATTAGACATGCTAACATTAAATCAACAATCTGAAAATAAAATTGGGCGAATTTTTTCTGAATCACATGCAAATGTGTTATGTGTAACGAAATTTGTAAAACCTGTACCCAATCTTTATGTGATCACAAATTAGGGTTTATACATCCATAACACATAATACATTTTTAAACTGTAAATCATGATCACCAATAAAAGTAATTTATTTCCAAATATGCAATTCTAATGGAACTGATTTTGCCCGTAATCACATATAAGTATTTAATTACCAAAGTTATAGAAATTTCCACAATTGAATCACCGAAAAAGGATACGTATCAAAATATAATTTGATACACATACCTTAATTGATTCAAAAAATTGGAAACAAATCACATAATAAAAGTGATAAATGTATATTCACTAAATATTATTTGACGTTCCGTTTATTTCTGAACCATTGAATTCAAAAAAAATGATTCAATTATCTTACCAAATTAATCACAAGATAATTGGCAAAATCAAAAATAAAAATTCAACCTTAATACGGAGTAGTTGAAAACAAGAATTCCACCATGATCAAAATCAAAAGAATCTTAATTCTACTAGACATCAAACCCTGATCGCAATTCAATGGCTTATCATATACATGTATCAAATTTCAATCGCAAATTGTAAAGTGATTAATAAAAAAAAACAATCGCAAATTTACTGCCGATCTAATAACTGCCGAAAGTACTTCTAAACAAAATTAGCCAAAATAATCGGCAAATTTCTCCTTATTCATCAACAATTAACTGTCGATCTTGATATCCAATAATTGGCAGATCAATTTATGTGATTATCAAAGCACCAATTGATTCATAATAGGAATACAGAAGATACAATCTGAAATATCACGATGAGTTTAATCGTATCGGCGAAAGAAAAAAAATAAAAACTCAAGCACCGTCTCCGAAACTAGAAGACATATTATGTGAAAAGAAATCCCAAAATTCCATACTCCAAATAATTCAATATGAAGAAGGCTCTGATACCAATTGTTGGAATAAATCCGATAATACTTTAATCTTCATATTGAAATTAACTGGAGAATTAACTGAGCGGAAGCGTACCTGACTCCATGGGAGATGACCTTTAGAGATCCGGGAGACGGAGGCTAGGGTTTGTGTCTTCTAGTTGATACACACCCTCGGGATTATCTCTCTAGCGATGGGATGCAGAAAGACAGAATGGCGTGTACAACTAGGGACCATAACCCCTTATTTATAGAGTGCTTAACCCTAATCAGCCCATCATTGATTAGGTCAAGCCCACGGGTCTCTACACATTTGGGCCCTATACCTTATTAGATAACTTATTAGCCCACTTAAATTAATATTCATAGGACCACTAATTTTTGGGCCTAAATATAAGATAGCATATAACATACAATTAAACCCGATAAATAATATATTGTGAATATTACATGTAGTCTAAGTCCAATAATCTAACAATAAATAGCAATAAAGTTTTTTAGTTTTTTTATACATTAAAAATTTCCCATTGTGAGATTATTATTATATTTTGCTTTTTCTGAATATTTTTGTTAAGCATTCAACTTGACAAGTTGACGGGAATGTATTCCCTTTTTTGAATTTTGGTACATGATTAATTGTTAGAATTTATGAACTTACGAAATAGTGTCCAATCATGTACTCCGTAGTAAAGAACTAATATACACCACTTGTTGGATTAGAGGTGGGTGATTCAGTATGAGGGTGCACTGAGAGAAAGTGAAATGCATTTTTGATGTAGAATAACAATCCAGTGGTTTTCACACTAAATTAGGTAATGCATGATATCCTTTAATCTCAATTGTCCCTAAACTACTAGGAACATAAAGTAATCATGTAACCTATAATACTTTCAAAAGCATTATAATATTCTTGATGTTCATTTCAATCTCAATTTTGGAACACACCAACTATTCCAATGCTGATATTAATTCATATTTGCTATTTGCGTTCAATTCTGTGTTTTTGTTTGATGCTCGATATGAGTTACATAGATCGGCACGAACTCTATAGTTCCTCTTAACATACACCTATTGAATCTCCTGTTAAGAGGTTAGAAACTCAATTCTTGATACTGCTGGTTCAGTGATAAACTGATAATAGATGGATGTTTCTGAGCTCTGTTATTTTAAAGAAGGCTGGGAAGCTCCTATATGGATGTTTTTTTAATTTTGTATTTTACTTTAGTTGGATAAAGTTCCTAAAAATATGTTTTGGCCAACGGTTTTCAATATATTTACTTTACTTTAGTTATTACTAAAGAAGTGGAAAATGTGTGTATGGTGTATGACATCGAGATATCTTCTATTGGATGTATGAAAATCATTTTGCATGGAAAACTAATTTCTTCTCTTGAAGCTACAAACTTAGAATGTTTTTAATTGGACTAAAACTTCATATATAGTCCGATGTGATTTGATCTGTTTAGGTTCGGTTTGATCTGATCTGAACTGGTCTAGTCTAGTCTGGAAGTGTCTGGTCTATGTGTATTTTACAATTGTCGAAGTCGCATTTGGTCTAGTATGTTTAAATCTAGTCTATTCTGGTCTGGAAGTAAATACATCCTTAGCATTCAGTTCCCCTCCACTCTTTAAGATTCTCTTTGCAGTTTCTTTAGTCCTGTGTAAACGTGTGATATTGCAGGTTGCTCAGGAGATTGAATCAGAAGCTAAATTCCAGAATGACTTTATTAGCTAGCTGGTATGTTATGCATTGCAGCCTGCTCTGAGTCTTGAGAATTATATTTTTTCTGATCAATCAGTTTTCAGTGGCATTCTCTCTTTAATAAACTCATCCTAGTTTACAATTTTCACATTAAATCAATTAACTTCATTATGAAATATCTTTGTATTGTGGTATAAATCTGGGTGTCCTGAATCCTTTCACAGTTTCATCCTCCATGATTCCTAACAGTTTTTTGTGTCTTTCAATATACTGAGTATGAGATAGTTCAAAACCATGTTATTTATTTATTTAATTACTTTCTTGCAAAAAAATACTTTACCACACTGTAGGAGAAATCGAAGCATCAATATCAAACCTATGGAGTGTAAGCTTTTAAATATCAACTCCTAATATAGTATGTGAAGTAAATTGTAGGTAATTGAAGTGCTAATGAAAGACGAAAGATTAGAGAACAAAAAAGCCCATGAATAGAAAAATGCTAAGGAAAGAAAAATACTACGTAAATAAAAGCCCGCTTGCTGCAATGTTAATTAAGCTATCAACATCATCACCATCATCATTCCAGTTCCGCAAAGGCTCCCACCCACGAGGGTCAGATGTACGCAGTCTTACCCTTCGACTAAAGCACAAAGAGACTGTTTCCGAATGACCCATGGTGAAAATTGCATAAAAAATTGCATGGACTGACTGTTTGCTTCATATCAAAGAAGCACAAACAGTTTAGTGAACCATTTTTTAATGTGAGTCATTTTGCTTTATTCCATCATATTCCCAAGCCAAAAAATAGTGAATCTTTGGCTCCATTGCAAATGATAGAAGTTGTCACGGCGATAGGAGTTGTCCTGTTTCTTGTAACGTTATAGTTTGTTTGAATGTGCAACTCTAAAACTCTTATAGTGGGTCAAAAGCAGATATACGTGTAAAACACTTGGCACATTGGAGTGTGGTAACCTCGTACATATTCTGGTTACACATTTGCAGTGGAAGGACAATGAACTGTGGAACAAGAAAAGAAGTGATGTCTATTTTCAGTACGAAGCAAGGGCTTTTTGCTCCAAAAGTAGATGTCCTGGCCATAACAATGAGTCAGAGAGTATCCCTTTAGTACAACAATGTCACATAGTGGACGTGAGGCTGGACATAGTTTTGGGTAGGGATGGATTGGGCCCGATTCGACTGGCCCAAACGGTACTGTTTAGTACCTAACCGGACCGCCGGCCGGGACCGGTATCGATCCATGAGGCCCGAACCGGGGGTAGGGGCGGGCTACAGGACAACGATTTGATGGCCCGGCCCGGGCTGTCCGGGACCGGGACCGGTTCAGGCCTTTTTTTCTTTTTATTTTTAATTTTTATCATTTCAAACAATTTTTTTAAAAAAACCCTAACCTGGGCCCGGACCAGTCCCGGTTTCAACCCGGGCCGGTACCGGGCCTTCCTCCCAAAACCCAGTCTCGCCAAAATCCCGGGCCGGTACTGGGCCTTCCTCCCAAAATCCAGTCCCGCCTAAATCCCAGCCCGGGGCCCGGCCCAACCCGGGCCCGGTCCATTCGTGGTTTTGGGATTGAACTAGAATTGATTTGCCAAAAGTCACCAGTCTCGTCCGTTTTTTAGCCTATTCTAAGGAACAAAACTGGCAAGTTCCAATCCTGTTTTGGGTCCATACTTTTGACACTTTTTCTAAAGATGTACCACGTGAAAGAATAACTAAAATGAAATGTTGAACACTTGAACATTAGGATTTAGGAAGGAGAAACCCCTAAAAATATTTACCCTGTGAAATCTGGTTAACGGATGAAATTGCAAAAACAAAATAACTCCTTACTAACCTAGTTTCCCTCCCATAGATAGGTCTACCGTTTATAAACCATTCATTTAAAAAATTATCACCACAATCAGATTAATCTTAATTATGCTGGAGTTGGCGGACATGAAATTTAGAGTCATAACTTATCTAAAGTCATTTATAATGTAAGTTAATTTAAATAAGTATAATGAAGAGTATAACACAGGTTTTCCCTCTAATTACTCGATTTGTCAACATACAAAACATAACGAGATAACAACGAATTCAGATTCTTGCTGTCGTCATGCAGTCAGGCCCTTCCCCACAAAAAGGAATAAAAAAGAATCTAAGTGAAAAACTCATGTTCTAACTTGCCTTGCAAAAGTCTTATGGATACACTAACTGATTAACTATGCTAGGCTCTTAATGTACATGTTTAGGTAATCATGTGTGGTTCATCTTCAAAAGTTTCAATCTTGTTGAAAGGAAATTGCAAGTGAACATAAAACTAGTCTTTTGACAAATCCCGGCTTCTAACCCAACCCTCCATAAGTATTTCCCAAGTCTTATAATTTGGAATTCCGCCTCTCTCTAGTATGTGAAGACATAGTAACTCAGCTTTTTCTGTCAATCCATTCCTCATATATGCACCTAGAAGAATCTTGGGAACCCGGACATCATATGTCCTACACTGATACTCCCATTCTCGAAAAACACTCTCGGCCTCCTCGATCTCGCCGAGCTTCACCAAAGATGAAATCATGCACATGTAATTGGCACAAGTCATTCTTCCTCCCACACCTTTAGAAGCTTCCCAAAGCCTGAGCACTCCTTCCTTGTTGTTTAAAGAAGTATAAATCGTAATTATAAAGAAATAAGCAAGGCGGTTACAGGTGGATAATTTCTTTTCTGCAAGCTCGAGCACCAAAATTTGCACAAGTCCGGATTTTAGGTAAATTTCAGCTAATGTGCACAAAGAGGTCCACCCTAGGTCAACAGTCAGATCATCGATCATTTCTTTGTACACACTCTCTGCGGATGAAATGCCACTCATATTTCCACAAGCACTCATCCATAAGTTATAAGAGAGAACATTTAGGGGTATACAGTTTTGCTTCATTTGGAGGATGACAGATAGGACTTTGGTGTACTGAGATGTGGCCATATATAGTTTCATCATCTCATTAAAGGGCTGAGAAGTCACAGCAAACCCCATGTTGTTCATCTTTGCCATTAGTGCTTATGCCTTCTCAGTGCATCTTTCTTTAACATAACAATGGAGAAGAGGAAGACAAGAAGCTTTCTTTGAAATGGAAGTGTGCAGATTTTCAAAATGCTCTTCCGCAGCTTTTGAACCGTACATTTTAATGGTCAATTCTGACCTGTTTGCGTAATCAGAAGGAGACATGGAAGAACTGTCTTGAGATTCCATCCAGATTAGGATCTGTTCAAATCAGAAACAAAAAACATTGAGTATTTATTAGCAACCATTCTTGATATACACACTTTACTATGGAAGTGTTTTGGAGCTTAAAGCAGGCATGAGTAAAAGTGCGTACAATCGTAAAGTATGTACAAAAGGTTTTTTTCAATTATTGTGTACTACTTCCATCCCATTTTATGTGTCTCATTTGACTTTAACACAATTATTAATAAAGTGGTTCAAAAATGTAAAAGTTGTGATTGAGATTTGAATATAATAAAGTGAAATGTTGTGGACCGCGTATTTTTTTTTCAAATAGGAAAATGTGACACTTATTTTGGGACAATTTAGAAAGGAAAGACAAATAAAATGGACGGAGGGAGTACATAATAGACAAAGCCCTAATCAAATTCTTCATCCCAAACATCTTTAACCACCATTTTCTCCGGATTTAGAATGTTTTCTTTTGGACTGACATTTGTTGGTTTGATCTGATCTGGCCTATTTAGGTATGATCGGGTCTGAAGTTGTAGCACCGTCCCCAAGCATATTTACTTTAAGTAAATTATGTAATAAACCTTGAAGGATGATTTATGAATTTGCGTAATTGTAAATTTTTATTATTTCTTTTACGTGAATAGTAGATTGCATGTGGGGCCCACGCCGGGACCGGAGGGCCGCCCGATAATTCCCGAACCACATATTATATTCATCTTGGTCTAGATGACATCTATATGGAGGTGAATATTTTATTTGGGCCATAAGAAAGGAATGGAGTTGACCGGTTGGTCAAACGGGGCCCAATTACCGGTATTGGTGATTTAGCGGATAACAGCCCGAAATGAGTTTCGGAGACTCCTAAATTAACGTTGGGGAATGTACATCTATTCTAAAGGCCCATAATTATTAGGAACGCGTGATATATTTTATTTGGTCCGATAAAATAAAATATGATTAAAACGGGCCGAGAAAATACAACTTTCGGGGCCGATTGTACACACCGGGACATAATGGGATGACCTCCCACATAAGTGGGGGCCACCCCACGTTTTATGGGTGCTGATTGACCAGATAATAGAGGAAGGACGGATGATTGAAATGGGAAGTCTCCAATAAGACAAAACCCACACCCCTCATGTCATATCCCTCACAATATTATTGTGTTGGTTGAGAAGGACCTCTCCCCTACCCTTTTTCAATCGGTTCGGCCAGCACAAGGGAGATAAGGTCCAGGGAAGAAGCTCTCAAAGTTCTGGAGCTGAAGAAACCAAGAGGAGAGAAGGATCCAAGAAGAAAAGCTAGGAATTGAGGTAAGAATCCAACTAGTATGCATTAACTAGTTTTATCATGTATGATTTTTACGAAATCATATGGAGGATTAAACATGATGTTCTACACGTTTAAAAGTGTAGAATATTGACATAAAGTGGTGGTATTTAACTTAGAAGTGTTTGTGAATCGATAGGAGTCGAAATCACCGGAAACCACCACATATAGGGAGCTGTTCGTAGTTGCAGACTACGAAAGCCGCCCGGCTTTCGTGAAAGCCGCCCGGCTTTTGACCAGCAGTCCAATTTTCCACTTTCAATCGGCCTAGAACGGGGATTGATCGAGGGGCTTAACAAAGGCAACTATTGTAGCACATCACGAGGTGAGGATGGCTGACTATATTGCTTATAATTGTTGGGTTAATTTCGTAACATTACCTAAGTTATTAAATGTGATTTTCATGGATTATTAATGAATAATAATGCCTAAATGAAAATACTATTGTATGTGAAAAAGTGAAGCATGATATACAAATTTAGAATAAATTGTGTATGATTATGTGATATGAAAGTGATGGTATGATGATGGAATTAACTATGATAATATTGGGATAAAATATACTTTTACTTCATGTAAGAAATTCATGAATGGTTAAAAGTGATATTCTTGATATTTGGATTTAATTATATTTGGATTGGAAAATCAATTGAGATGAATTAATTGGCTATGAATTAAGAACTTGGTGGTTCTAAGATTATCCGACTAGTATTGGAATACTAGTCGGAAGATTAATATAAATAAATGATGGAATGAATCCTAAGAGATAGGGTTGTAAATGGGTATGCCTTAAGTAGTCTTAAGAGATACTTTAAGGTTGAATTGTATGAACACCAATGTGTGGTAGGGGTAGGCCTAAAGGCTACCCAAGTGAATTGATTCTAGGCATAGGATTTGCTTGAGAATTGGACTATGAAAATAAAGTAGAGTTGGACTCTAGGATTGCATGGAAATGTAGTTGGGCCGAGCCCTTGCCATGTAATGTGATTAGCATGGAAACGTAGTTGGGCCGAGCCCTTGCCATGTATATGTGATCTCCGTGGAAACGTAGTTGGGCCGAGCCCTTGCCACGAAGTTATGGTTGGTATGGAAACGTAGTTGGGCCGAGCCCTTGCCGTACAATTTTAATGCGTTAAATTGAGTTAGAGGATTTTATAGAAATGTAGTTGGGCTGAGCCCTTGCTATAAAATCAGGGCTCGATGGGACCCTACGGGGTTATCGTGACATGCAGTCACGGGGAAAAAAAATAATGAATTCTAAATGAATATGGGCCCACAGGTTGACTACTTGACTCTATATAAAGTAAGTACAGTTAAAAGTAAAAGGGGTAACCGAGGGTTATGGCCTATAATATGATATCACCCTACTGGCCGACAAGACCAAAGAGGAGGTAGACATTAATGATGTGAGAATAGTGTGCAAGTATCCAGATGTCTTCCCAAAAGACTTGCCGGGACTTCCACCCGATAGGGAGATTGGGTTCGTGATCGAGGTTGAACCCGGCACCAAACCAATCTCTATACCGCCATACAGAATGGCACCCGCTGAATTTAATGAGTTGAAAACCCAATTGCAAGAACTATTGGATAACGGTTTCATAAGGCCAAGTCACTCCCCGTGGGGAGCACCGGTCCTTTTCGTGAAAAAGAAAGATGGAACACTTCGAATGTGCATTGACTACCGTCAACTGAACAAGGTCACAATCAAGAATAGGTATCCCTTGCCTAGGATTGATGACCTGTTTGATCAGCTCCGAGGAGCGATGGTATTTTCGAAGATTGACTTGAGGTCGGGGTACCACCAACTGAAGATAAAGGAGGATGACATACCGAAAAGTGCATTCCACACGAGGTATGGTCATTTCGAGTTCCTAGTTATGCCGTTCGGGCTAACTAACGCCCTGGTGGCATTTATGGACTTGATGAACCGAGTATTTCATAAATACTTGGACCGGTTTGGGATTGTGTTCATAGATGATATCTTGATTTACTCAAAGAGTGAAGAAGAGCATAAGGAGCACTTGATACTCATTCTTGAGACACTACGGGAGAAGCAACTCTATGCCAAGTTTTCCAAATGTGAATTTTGGCTAAGGGAGATTGGCTTTCTCGGGCATGTGGTCTCGGGATCAGGGATTGTCGTAGATAACAAGAAGATTGAGGCCATTACTGAATGGGAGAGGCCAAAGAACGTCAAGGAAATTCGTAGCTTCCTTGGATTGGCAGGGTATTACCGAAAGTTCGTGGAGAAGTTCTCAGTTTTGGCATAGCCACTGACAAAGCTCACTCGAAAAGGGGCCAAGTTTGTATGGGATGACCGATGTGAGAAAGGATTCCTTGAGCTGAAGAAGAGATTGACCGAGGCACCGGTACTTGCATTACCCCGAAAGGGTATGGGGTACGATGTCTATAGTGACGCGAGCATCCAAGGGATTGGATGTGTCTTGATGCAGAATGGGAGGGTGATTGCCTATGCTTCACGACAGTTGAAGAAGCATGAGGTAAATTATCCTACTTATGACTTAGAGCTGGGGGCAGTGGTATTTGCATTGAAGATTTGGAGACATTATCTCTAAGGGGAAACATGTCATATATACACTGACCACAAAAGCCTGAAATACGTGTTTACTCAGAAAGAGTTAAACATGAGACAGAGACGGTGGATGGAGTTGATAAAAGACTACCATCTAGTTGTCGAGTACCACCCCGGTAAAGCCAACGTGGTAGCGGATGCCCTGAGCCGAAAGAATTCGTCTGGGGCATTGTTGACTAGTTTGAGGGTATTGAGAGCCCGATTGGAGGTATCTAGTGATGGTGCTTTGTTAGCTAGATTCGAGGTGAGACCTACATTACTTGATGAAATCAAGAAGGGTCAAGAAACTTATGAAGAGCTTATGAAGGTCCGTGAACGCATGCTAGCGGGGCCGATTGAGGATTTCAAGGAAAGAGACGATGGTCTCTTATTATTTCGTGACCGAGTGTGCGTACCGTCGGATGATGGGCTCCGAAAGTCCATCTTAGAGGAGGCTCATTCATCGGCGTATGCCATGCATCCGGGAGGCACAAAAATGTACCGTGATTTGAAAGAAAGTTACTGGTGGTCGGGTATGAAGAGAGAAATAGCCGAGTACATCAGTAGGTGTCTTACTTGTCAGCAAGTTAAGGCAGAACATCAGCATCCAGCTGGGTTATTGCAGCCAATTTCCATTCCTGAATGGAAGTGGGAACATGTGACTATGGATTTCGTGGTGGGGCTGCCACGGACGATTAAGAACTATGATGTCGTATGGGTTGTGGTCGATAGGCTCACGAAGAGTGCACACTTTCTACCTATCAACACCACCTATGCACTGGAAAGGTTAGCCAAGTTGTATGTGGATGAGATCGTGAGGCTACATGGGGTTCCTATAACCATTGTATCTGATAGAGATCCGCGATTCACATCACGATTTTGGCCGAAGTTCCAAGAATCTATGGGGACAAAACTGAAATTCAGTACAACCTTTCATCCACAAACGGATGGGCAATCCGAGCAGGTTATACAGATATTAGAGGATATGCTGAGAGGTTGTGCATTGGAGTTCCAAGGGAGTTGGGACAACCATTTGGCACTTGTGGAGTTTACCTATAACAACAGTTATCAGGCGAGTATAGGCATGCCTCCATATGAGGCATTGTATGGGAGGAGATGGCGTACACCTTTGTGTTGGGATGAGGTTGGCATGGCCAAACTCGAGAGCACGGAACTGGTGGAAATCACCAAGTCAAAGGTGAAGATGATTCGTGACAGACTTAAGGCGGCACAGGATAGACAGAAGAGCTATGCCTATAAGCGCCGAAGAGCCTTAGAGTTTAAGGTTGGAGATGAGGTATTTTTGAAAGTTTCACCTTGGAAAGGAATCATCCGATTTCAGAGCCGAGGGAAACTTAACCCACGCTACATAGGGTCATTTGTAATTCTTGAGAGAATTGGGGTCGTAGCATACCGATTACAGTTGACTCCGGAATTGGAGAAAATACATAATGTATTCCATGTGTCTATGTTTAAGAAGTATATTCCGGATCCATCTCATGTACTAGAGAAACCACCCGTGGAAATACGGGAAGACTTGAACTACGCTGTGCAGGCGGTAAGGATACTTGACGGGCAAGTAAAGAAGCTAAGAAGCAAGAGAGTTCCAATGGTCAAAATCCATTGGAAGAGTGACCGAGTGGAAGAAGAAACTTGGGAGACTGAGGCCTCGATGAAGGATCAGTATGCATTTCTGTTTGAATAATCGTTGTGAATTTCGGGGACGAAATTCCCGTTAAGGGGGGGTGAACTTGTAGCACCGTCCCCAAGCATATTTACTTTAAGTAAATTATGTAATAAACCTTGAAGGATGATTTATGAATTTGCGTAATTCTAAATTTTTATTATTTCTTTTACGTGAATAGTAGATTGCATGTGGGGCCCACGCCGGGACCGGGGGGCCGCCCGATAATTCCCGAACTACATATTATATTCATCTTGGTCTAGATGACATCTATATGGAGGTGGATATTTTATTTGGGCCATAAGAAAGGCATGGAGTTGACCGGTTGGTCAAACGGGGCCCAATTACCGATATTGGTGATTTAGCGGATAACAGCCCGAAATGAGTTTCGGAGACTCCTAAATTAATATTGGGGAATTTACTTCTATTCTAAAGGCCCATGATTATTAGGAACGCGTGATATATTTTATTTGGTCCGATAAAATAAAATATGATTAAAACGGGCCGAGAAATACAACTTTCGGGGCCGATTGTACACACCGGGACATAATGGGATGACCTCCCACATAAGTGGGGGCCACCCCGCGTTTTATGGGTGCTGATTGACTAGATAATAGAGGAAGGACGGATGATTGAAATGGGAAGTCTCCATTGAGACAAAACCCACACCCCTCATGTCATATCCCTCACAATATTATTGTGTTGGTTGAGAAGGACCTCTCCCCTACCCTTTTTCGATCAGTTCGGCCAGCACAAGGGAGATAAGGTCCAGGGAAGAAGCTCTCAAAGTTCTGGAGCTGAAGAAACCAAGAGGAGAGAAGGATCCAAGAAGAAAAGCTAGGAATTGAGGTAAGAATCCAACTAGTTTGCATTAACTAGTTTTATCATGTATGCTTTTTAAGAAATCATATGGAGGATTAAACATGATGTTCTACACGTTTAAAAGTGTAGAATATTGATATAAAGTGGTGGTATTTAACTTAGAAGTGTTGGTGAATCGATAGGAGTCGAAATCGCCGGAAACCGCCACATATAGGGAGTTGTTCGTAGTTGCAGACTACGAAAGCCGCCCGGCTTTCGTGAAAGCCGCCCGGCTTTTGCCCAGCAGTCAATTTTTCCACTTTCAATCGGCCTAGAACGGGGATTGATCGAGGGGCTTAACAAAGACAACTATTGTAGAACATCACGAGGTGAGGATGGCTGACTATATTGCTTATAATTGTTGGGTTAATTTCGTAACATTACCTAAGTTATTAAATGTGATTTTCATGGATTATTAATGAATAATAATGCCTAAATGAAAATACTTTTGTATGTAAAAAAGTGAAGCATGATATACAAATTTAGAATAAATTGTGTATGATTATGTGATATGAAAGTGATGGTATGATGATGGAATTAACTATGATAATATTGGGATAAAATATACTTTTACTTCATGTATGAAATTCATGAATGGTTAAAAGTGATATTCTTGATATTTGGATTTAATTATATTTGGATTGGAAAATCAATTGAGATGAATTAATTGGCTATAAATTAAGAACTTGGTGGTTCTAAGATTATCCGACTAGTATTGGAATACTAGTCGGAAGATTAATATAAATAAATGATGGAATTAATCCTAAGAGATAGGGTTGTAAATGGGTATGCCTTAAGTAGTCTTAAGAGATACTTTAAGGTTGAATTGTATGAACACCAAGGTGTGGTAGGGGTAGGCCTAAAGGCTACCCAAGTGAATTGATTCTAGGCATAGGATTTGCTTGAGAATTGGACTATGAAAATAAAGTAGAGTTGGACTCTAGGATTGCATGGAAATGTAGTTGGGCCGAGCCCTTGCCATATAATGTGATTAGCATGGAAACGTAGTTGGGCCGAGCCCTTGCCATGTATATGTGATCTCCGTGGAAACGTAGTTGGGCCGAGCCCTTGCCACGAAGTTATGGTTGGTATGGAAACGTAGTTGGGCCGAGCCCTTGCCATACAATTTTAATGCGTTAAATTGAGTTAGAGGATTTTATAGAAATGTAGTTGGGCCGAGCCCTTGCTATAAAATCAGGGCTCGATGGGACCCTACGGGGTTATCGTGACATGCAGTCACGGGGGAAAGAAAATAATGAATTCTAAATGAATATGGGCCCACGGGCCGATAACTTGACTCTATATAAAGTAAGTACAGTTAAAAGTAAAAGGGGTAACCGAGGGTTATGACCTATAATATGATATCACCCCAAGTTGAGGGTCTTAGAAATTGAAACATTAATTATACTTAGTATAGTTGCTATTGTACTTGTCAAATATTTCCAACTACTGACCTCCCCTTCACGGGGGAGGCCACCTCACAGTTTCAGGTAGAACTTGAAGGTTGCTGCCACCGCCCGTTGTTTCGGGAAGATTCAAGGAAGAAGACGTGGTTCGTGCTTCTTCCGTTTCTGTTTTGAAAACAATTTAAATAATGCTCATGGATATTGTTTTTGAATAATTATTTGGGGGCTTGTATGCCCATGTTTGCCAAGGTGTGGCATAAACACTTGTGTTAAATGTTTCCGCTGCTATAAATGTTTATTTTACATTATGTTTGTTTATGGATGTACTATGTGTGAATGGTATTCAAGACGCCTTGTATAGTGTGGATGGGTCGGACTGCGGTTGACTATTCGTACTGTACGGTGGGTTGTTGACGTGTCCGGGTAGGTCCGGGGCGTGACAGAACTGGTTTGGTCTTGACCGGTAAATGTTCGGTATACGTGTATTTTATCATTGTCCATGTCTGACCTGATCTAGTCTAGTCAAATTTGGGACTGAAAATAGTCCAAAAGAAAACATCCTTAAAACAATTGTTCATGTTCACATTAACACTAAGCCATAAATCAAACTTCCATTCTAAAGTAAGGCTGGGCCCGAAAAACCGAAAACCGAAAACCGAATCAAATTAAACCGAACCGCGACCAAATAAAACCAAACCGCTAAAAACCGAAACCGAATGTAAAGAACCGAACCGTAGTAGTTTGGTTCGGTTTTGGTTTTTACCCTTCAAAACCGAACCGAACCGAACAAACCGAACATAAATAAAATATGAAATTTTATTTGTTAAATGTAAGCATTAATCTTAATATCATCAATAATATTTGAATTTCTTGTGCTAGAGAAATAATGTTTATGCTATGTTAGTTTAGTTTATAAATGCATTTACACATTTATTGCCCATAATAATGTAGCTATATTGATCTATTATGTCTTTTATGTATGTATGTTGCAATTTGTTGCATGATTATATGTTTTTACTAGTTATTAGTAGTAATTAACTTTTATTTTTATGTAACTTAATTCTTTTTTGTAACTTAACTTTTTTATATTGATAAAACAAATAAATATTCATCTCGGCTAAATCACACAGGAAGTATGTATTCATAAACGTTTTTCAAACTAGTCACAAACATTGTAAATTAAGAATAGATACATACTTTTATCTCTCCCGCATACTCATATAATTCAAGACATATTTTTATTATTATTATGTTCTTCATTTGTTCAAGTATGCTTGCATTTTTATGTAATATGTTTGATCCCTCCAACTTTTATATCAATTTTAAATTAAATGACAAATATTTAGTAAAAAACCGAAAAAATCGAAACCGAACCGAAAAAAACCGAACCAATCAAACCGTGGTTTGAAGTTTTGGAGTGTAAAACCGAACCGAAACCGAACCGAACTTTTACTTTGGTTCCGTATTTGGTTTTAGGTCAAAACCGAACCGAAAGAACCGAACCCACCCCTACTCTAAAGTTTGAAACAAAGGAAAAAAGGGGTGAAACCTCTACAGCTGCGCCAAAACGACGGCGTTTGATTAGCTGCCTATACACACACCGAAGCTGAAAAGCCGAAATTTTGTGGCCTTCGTTCATCCATTTATGGAGTACGATGGTGGCACTCCGCCGTTGGCATGCGCTGTTGAAAATCAAGCTCCTAAGCTCGTGGTCTGTGTCGCGGCGGCGCACCCTGGACGCCACCATTTCCTTAGCCTGTAAAGGTTTTGAAGATATATTCCTCCATGAGCCGGCCACACGAGCAAGATAAACGCTACAATTACCCCACACAGCCAAGGCTAATTAGATTTGTAGGTGCATATGTAGAATGTATAATTATAGAATGTCTACCTTCTTAGAGAATTGATAGTCCAGCGAGTTGCAGCCATAAGCCGACGTGCTCTGCGAAATAACAACTTCCGATCTGGTTTGGCTTATTAACCATCACACGAGCTCACAGGGATGAAGAATGATGGTGTTATCACTACAAAAAATAAATGAATTGGTTGAATATAATAACATTTTTTAAACAATTATAATTGTGAAAAACTACACTCTATTAATAAATTAAGGAAAAATTTATAAGAAAAGCAGTTAAAATTGTTCTGATTAAGAAAATCCGAGAAAAAAGATCTTATATACTCCGTATGTACTTTACCTTAAAAATAAATTAGTTGAAAGAACATAGTAACATATTAACAACCTATCACATAAAGACTAAACTAACTTGTATGTGTAAACAATCATCAATGTACTATTAATGTTTTCTTCCAATCTTTTGTTCATTTTTTGTGAGATGGACATGTGGTTTGTTTTGTTAGATTCTTCATCCGTCTCTAAAAGAACTTTCAATTTTTCCATTTCGTCAGTCCCAAAAAGAACTTCATTTTCCCTTTTTGACAGAGAATTTGTGGTTCACAACTTTGTGTGTGCCATTTGTACTATGGGAGAACTTTTAGAAATGGAGAGAGTAGTTGAAATGTTAAGTCATCTTTTATCGGAAGACACAAAAATATGATGTTATACTTTTGGACTTTTGGTATACTTCATAAGTTTGTTGTATATATATATATGGAAGTTCTTTCTCAAATTGTTGTAGTTCTTTGTAACAATGCAAAAATTATTTTTTGAGGCATGAAATTTGTATTTCGGGAGCAAATACGTGAAGCCATGCTTTATACGGTTCATTTGATCTGTCAAAAGACTATCTTAGTTACTACTTATACGATTGAGATTCTCTGCCGCACGGCAAAGTGCCTTGCAGCAGAGAGTCATCCAATGGAAGAAGAAACACCTCGAGATGTGTACCGCGAAATCTTCGACCATTGATGTTTTGACTGAACGGCCCTCAATAGCCGGTTTCGGATCCCTAGTTATAACAATACTAGCTTCCCTTTTTATTATCCCTATGTACCCTCTTCTCCTATTTTTAAGGACATTTGTGTTTGTCCTCATTACCATCTTCTTCGTTACTAGTTATAACAATACTAAATTCCCTTTCTATTATCCCTTATGTACCATCATCTCATATTTTATATGGACATTTGTATCCGTCTACATTACCATCTTCTCCTAATATTCGTATTATTTATCACAAGCTATACCTATGTCAGAATGTATATAAATATAACAATATTTTGTTGATGTTTATTCCTGGCGATCTAAGGGCCCATCATGTTCACAGGGGTTTCATTGGATTATGATGGACTGTTTATCTTTTAGTGAGCTATCTAGGTAAGTATGAAGGTACAAATAATAGCAAGAAAGAGTAGGAGGTAAAGTGGGACAAGTTTTATAAATGACTTAGATCAATCACAGAACACTCTTATTGAGCCTGTGCCTTGACCCTCTATTCTAAACTAATAGAACACAGAAGAACTAGAGAGAAGCTAAGCTATTGAATACAAGTTGTCACCCCTTTACAATGAAATAAATGCTACAGAGTAGTGTTCATACTACAAAGTGGTAGGGAGTGGGGTGATGTGGCGAGTCCTAGCCTGTTAACCCCCAACCATAAAATCCCCTTGTTTGATGCATCAAATGCGCTTTCCGCCGTTTCATTGCTTTCTCGCCAATTCTTCTGGGGGATAGACTAAATGTCCATTGGGAGCAATCTGGAGAATTTTCAAGGATCCTGTGCCGCACGGCACGTGCTGCTCAGCTGACGTCGCCCGGCCTATACTGCTCGGTCCAGATCCCCCTTACCGGGCTTACGCCGTGCTTGGTCATTTACCCCAACATATTTTTTCTCACTCACGCCTTATGATAGTTACGTGTATTCCTTCGAAGTAATTTAATTTTTTTAGTGCAAATGTGCCATAAACTTATCACAATTCATCCAAATTTCAAATGGGAATAAGACACAAATAGGACTAAAACAATAGGCTGGAACTTAAATAGGAGTGAGAAGTTTTTAACTCCTAAATATGACTCATTTTGAATCGGAAGGACGAGAATACCCTCTGTCAAAGTACTCGTACCCATCAAATACAACTTGCACCGCTTTTAAATCAGCCAACGAAGAGGGATCGCACCAGGTGGGAGCGAATCAGCCAACCAAGAGGGAACATACCAGGTGGGAGCGCATCTCTGAGATACGATGTGATGTATGTTGAGTCTTCACCGGACTGCCTCTTGTCGCTGATTCGCTGGGCCGCTTGTCACTGTTGGACCGATGTTTGTCACCGCCTCGCCACGAAATTTGCTGGGTCTTCTTCTTCCTTCTTCTCCTTTTTCTTCCTTCCTCTTTTTCTTCCTTCTTCTCCTGATCCTCTGTTGTTTCTTAATTATACATACATTGCAATGTCATTTGCAAATCAAAACTTGCAATGTCATTTGCAAATCAAAATTTGCAATGTCATTTGCAATGCCATACAATGCCTGACAATGTCATTAAAAATGTCAATGACAATGTCATAAGAATGACAACGACAATGTCATAAAAATGTCAATAACAATGTCATAAGAATGTCAATCATTATGAAAATGACATTGTTAAAAATGTCAATGACAATGTCATAAGAATGTCAATGACAATTTCATAGAAATGTCAATAACAATGTCATAAGAATGTCAATCATTATGAAAATGACATTGTTAAAAGTAATGCCAAAGCTCTAAAATATATGTAGTAATTTTTATTTTCAGCGGGTGCAACGTTTGCAAAACAAAGCCAATTCACTGGAGCGTGAATTGTCCAAATCGGGATGCAGAATCGTCGCCACAGCTTGCTGGATCGACCAGCTTGAATCCCTCGCTGAGATAAAAGGGAACAGTTTCGGGGATCCGAGCTCCGATCTTCCGCCCCGGGCGGTGGCTGTCCAGCTTGACGTGAGCGCAAATGGGCCCTCCATCGAGGCCGCCGTGCAGAAGGCTTGGGATGCTTTTGGCCGTATCGATGCCTTGGTTAACAACGCCGGCATCAGAGGAAGAGTACACAGTCCATTGGATTTAACAGAAGAAGAGTGGGATAGCATCATGAGACCAAACTTAGTGGGAACATGGCTCGGCAATGCAAAGCAAGGAGGATCTGTCATCAATATCTCTTCAATTGCAGGATGAAGAATGCGAAGCCGAAGGGAAAGCTGATCGATAGAAGAAGACGCGAAAGAAAATAACGACAGCGACTTCTATATTAGTTTAAGAAGCAGGAGCAATTTTGGAAACTTCTCAAAATTTGGTCTTATTTAGGAGTTAAAAATGTCAAGTTCCTATTTAATTACATACGAAAACTTAAGCTCCTATTTAGCACAATTTCTCATTTCAAATTTGTATGTTCCTCATTTCATTTTTTAATAAGCGAGTCCATGCCCGCCTTGTAAGCATCCAATTGCAAGAAACATGTTAGTAGTCGATGGGCCTGGAGCACATTTCATGAAAACCCAATTGTTGGTAACACTAAAGCCCAGCCCGACTACTCAACGATCGGCGTTACTGAATTCTGATAGCCTGTGATGACCTGAGCTCCGCAGGAATCAATAACAGTCGCAATCGTTATCGGGGAAGCTAAGAAGGCAAGGTAAATATTTCTTCTTAGCTTATATTTTCTGTTTTCTGAACTTTGTAATGATCGGTCAATACCTTCCCTTTTCTGGTAATTTTAATCAACTTGTAGTTTTTCGATTGCAATTCTTAGGGCTTTACTGCATTTCAATTACTATCAGGATTTAAATTTTGCAGAAGAAAATGAAGTTTATTATGGAATTTGCTGAAGATTTGATTCTGAGATTGATGGAGGATCCAGTGGAGAGGGATCGGCACTTTCGTGAACGTCTCTACGCAGTGAAGGACAGGTGCAAGAAGACAAAGGAGATGTGGAGCCTTCCTCTTCGCCCGTACGGTTTCTGGACCTTTGAACGCCACAATGCTCAGATCTTTTCGGACTCTAAGATTAGTCAAGCTCAAGGTCGCCGTGATCCCTACGACGACCTGCTTCAGAATGTCCCCAACACCTCCACTTCACATTCCTCTTCTACATCCACCTCCAAGTGACTATGTGAGCTTTTGAATTTCTATTAACGTTTAAGAACGCGTTTATGGTGCCTGGCTGGTATAAATCAGTGAGTATATTTATGAATGTGTGTTTCTTATTTTCTCCATGGGAACGGTTTTCTGCACAATGTGCAATAGCTTAGGGTATAGCTGATGTGCTTACTGTTCTCAGTGTCAAGAAACAATGTGCTGCTGCTTCCGGGGAGCTGTGGTCTCTTACATTCGGTTCGGTATCCAGCTCAAGCTTATTAATGAGCAGAAGTAGTAGAATTAGTAACTTTTCAACTTGTATTGGATGAGGTGATAGGTGATTGCTATCAAACACTTTTCCTTTCAGAAACTGAGTAGATTCAGCCATTTCAGTCGAATTGTTTCTGGAAAAAGTCACTTTTCTGGAAACCATTTCCTGCCTTTTCAAAAATACCCCAAGGTTTACACCTAAGTAATGCTAATGTTTTCATAAGGTGAAGGTTTGATGTTCAGCAGGTGATATTATTTTTCCATGTGTGTAGGGCATTTCAGGGCATGAAGCGTGACCACTTGGCTTGAGAGCTAGAATTAGATGTGAATAAGTTCCATACTGTGTATGATTAAAGATATACTCCACCTTATGAGTCTACTCATTTTGATGTTGCATTTGGAACCATCATGTGTTTTATTTGATACCCTGCAATTGAAACATCGAAAAATTTGTGTTCATTCTACGAGCAATCATGGCTTCATGTTCTGGCACTTTAATGCTTTACTTGCACCTCCTTATTTTTTCACTGGGAGCATACATAAACTTTGGAAGATTTTTGTAGCCTCTTTATTTTGTATGGTGAGAGGTTTGAAAAGAAAGGGATGATAGCGTATAAATACAGTTATGCATGTCATTTTTAGCCAATTTAATAAGCCATGTTTGATTTTTCATTTGAAGATACAGAAGAAAAAAGAACTTGATTACAACTTTATAAAAGTTAGACCAATTAGATTTATTAGTCTATAATGATAGAAATAGAACTCCGCCATGAGATCATTTTTTTGGTATCATGCCTGTCCCAAGCCAGGAGGAGGGTGCTGTGGTAGGCGCGTGACGGCCAACAGTATCACTTAGTCACATCACATGACATGAATCGAAATATGAATATCGCTATGGCATCGATATCATAGATCGATTCATGTTAGCCGACCCCAAATTCTTTTGGGATTAAGGCTTGGATGTTGTATTGTTGTTGTTGATAACGATAGAAATAATTATATGAAACTGAGTTTGAGTAAATATCTTAAAATGATTTAAAGAAGTGGGGAAAATAATCCCAATTATGGTTTGTTTCAACTATGAATTACTCCGTACATTACACCGATACCAAAAAATAAGCAGGTTGTATGAACCAACAATGTATTACTTCATACAAATTAAATCACATTTTAATCCGTATGACTGAGAGAGATCACAACTCACAAGTCTTGGAAGTGTCCTTTATTAAAATGACATATTTTCCCTTGAAGTGCTTTAGTGGTTTGGAATGAAAGCAATGTATTTTCCATTATATTTGTTGCTAGTGAAAGCAAATGAGGTCATTGGTTGTCCGAGTTTCCGAGAAGCTTATGGTGGTAGCAAGTAGCAACACCTGATGAGGTTACTTGCATCTAGCTTGTTGTATAAGTCAATGAGCCAAACCTTCTCCACAGCCACCAATGGAACCGCCTTCTTAGTCACCAACCATCACACATTGTCCCACTTTCCGCCTCGCCACCATTGCAACTTTGAATCTTAGCCAATACAACAACAACATCCAAGCCTTAGTCCCAAAAGATATTGGGGTCGGCTAACATGAATCGATACATGATATCACAACCAAAAGGAAAAGAAGGAATAAAGATAAAAAGATAAGCTATTATGAAAAGATAATATAAAAAAGATGAATATATATAAAAATGATAAAATAAAAAGGCTGCAAATAATGCATATATATATATATATATATATATATATATATATAAGGATAAAAAAACTAGGGAAAAAAAGATGAGGGAAAAAGATTATCAAGATTACTCCTTCACGTGAATACCTGCCCTCCACTTAGTTCTCTCTAAAGTCATGCCCTCATCCAACCCCAGAAGAAGCATATCACTTCGAACTCCCCTAACCCACGTCTGTTTGGGTCTTCCTCTCCCTCTCTTCCCTGCCTCTTCTCCACACATCTCAACTCGCCTAACAGGTGCATCACTCGGTCTTCTACGCACATGACCAAACCACCGTAGGCGCGAGCAATTCATATTGATGTCGTTATATGTGTAGTATTAGTTAGGTATTATGATTGTCGAGGGAACTATCATACTAAGTATATTAATACACTACACTTTAAGAATGAGCTCAAAAACATTGACCTTAATAAACACTACTAATAAGTAGGGGTGGACTCGGGTCCGGGCCGGGTCCGGGTTGGGCCTAGGCCCGGGCGGGCCGGCGGTTCAAGAATGGTGGACCCGGGACCGGCCCGGGTAGCCACCGGGTCCGGGCCAGGCCTCCGGTTTGGTTTTTTTTTTTTTTTGCTTTCCTAAGCCCCCCCCCCCCCCCCCCACCTCACCCCCCACCCTCCCAAACCCCCCCAAACCCATCCTACCCATCAAGCCCAACCCGGGTGGAACCCCAAAAATGAAAAAAAATAAAAAAAAATCAATTTGGCCCGGGTCCGGGCCCGACCCGGCCGGTTCACCAAAATTGAGACCCGAGCCCGGACCCACCCTACCCCCCGGGCCTAGGCCCGACCCGGACCCGGACCCGAGAACCGGGCCGGTCCCGGTCCCGCACAGTAGCAGGCCGGGCCGGTCCACGGGCCGGGTGGCCCGACCCGAGTCCAAGCCTACTAATAAGTAATAACCAGTGAAGTAAAGATCACAATACTGGTGCTTTACTGGTGCTTTTTCTGCAATGAAGGAAATCAAATCTGTTTAGCAACTTTGACAAACGAATTTTTGACATTTTTGATCCCTCGACTATTATATCATTGACACTTTTGGCACTCGGCTTCCAATTTTTCCATTTTTAGTCATCAACTAAAAATTTGGTCTCCGACTATTAAAAATTTAGTTTTCCATTTTGTGCTAGAGACACTTTTAGTCTCCGACTTCAAGGTTTCGCACATTTAGTCCCTGAGTATTGTCAAATTGACACTTTTAGTCCTCCCGTTATGATTTTGACACAAAAAATGAAGGACTAAAATGTCACTATTATAATAGTTGAAGGACCAAAAGTGTCACTTTAATGAAAGTTGAAGGACTAAATATGAAATTTTTTTAAGACGGATATCAAAAGTGTCTCTAGCGCAATAGTCAAGGACTAAAAATGAAATAAATCAAAGTCGAGTACCAATGTGTCAATGACATAATAGTCGGAAGATTAAAAGTAGAAAAAACTCTTTGACAAATCTATTACTCCCTCCGTCCCGGAATTATCTTCATTCTTTCCTTTTCGGTCCGTCCCAAATTTATCTCCTTTTTCCCTTTTTGGTAAAGAATATGTGGTTCACAACCATCCTTACACATTTCTCTCTCCTCTGCATAACTCTCCACCACACAAATCCCACTATCTTAAAACCCATGCCCGGTCAAAACCGGAGTTAAATATGGGACGGAGGGAGTACGATTTACGAGATGACAATTGCGCGCTAGCTTCCCTAAACAATATGTAAAAACCAAGCATTTAAGAACTTCAAGCTACAACTTCTGAATTTGGAAGTTCAATATCTAAGGAATTTTATATGCACTCGTAACCTCCTGGAGATCACCAGTTTTCGAAACACTAAAAATCCAAATTTCAAAATGCTCAGCCACCTCTTAGTACTACGGTAACTATGGGACGGAGGGAGTACGATTTACGAGATGACAATTGCGCGCTAGCTTCCCTAAACAATATGTAAAAACCAAGCATTTAAGAACTTCAAGCTACAACTTCTGAATTTGGAAGTTCAATATCTAAGGAATTTTATATGCACTCGTAACCTCCTGGAGATCGCCAGTTTTCGAAACACTAAAAATCCAAATTTCAAAATGCTCAGCCACCTCTTAGTACTACGGTAACTACAGTCACTTCATAATACTGAAAAGAGGGGAAAAGTAAAATTAAAGGGGGGGGAGATGATTTTATGATCTCATTTGAAAGTAGTGAAGTAAAAGTCTGTGTCACAAGGAGCTTTGAAGAGTTGAGTTTCTGGAAAGAGACCAGTGTTGATGGTAGAGTTGGGAGCAAGGGTATGATGGGCATGGAGATTGTTTGAAGGCTGCTGCTGCCACTGCCAATAGTACTCTGATGAGGCAAGAGGCATTATGAGCTGATGAGGGATGATCTCCTGCAGCATTGCCTCGGGATAGCTGCTCTGGTCTGGATTCACATTGCTACCATTTGAAATGAATTTAGGTGCTGACAGAAGAGAGAGAGCACAAAGCTCAGGTATTGTGCCGTCGTTTGAAGAGAAGATAGAGTATCCCTTGCTTCCTGTTCAATAAATAAAAACATCATAAGTTAAGATCTTGTAATATATATTATAATAAATGCCTATCTGTCATTGAAAATAAAGAGTCATGTTTGTAATATTGTTTTAGCAAGACTTGTCTTTTTAGTCTTCTTTTTGGCAGAGTTAACTACAGCTTGGTCAGTAAGAGCAAACTGATAACTGAAGTAGTTGAGCAACTAAAATCTCTCTAGTTCCAATATGCAGAATGTTCCTTATTTGGTCAATAACAATCACAGTGTTGAGGTTATATATTACTGTAAAAATATTCTCACACAGTGAACAAAGACAAAACAGAACTTTTGCAACCCAAGACTAGGGATACAAGCAAGTGCTATTAGATGCATTTATCTTGCAGACAAGACTTGCAAGGAGTGTTGGGTAGTGCACGAAAAGACATTTTTGTGTTTATTGCTTAAAATGATAACCCCACCGTAGGTGGGAGCCTTTGCGGCATTGGGGTAAATGAAAATGAAAATGAAATGATTGCTTAAAATGATAAATCTAAATGGGAGTAGTATTTTCAATTGGCATTTTGCTGAATTCAATGCTAAAAGCAGTAAAACAAGACAAAGGTGATTACAATTGCTTCTCACTTTTTCTATAATACGTTACCTAAATTATACACCAAAAAGTACCTTTTTATCAAGGGAATACTAGTACACTCCCAACTATTACTAGTCCCTCTGTCCCAGAGAAACATCTTTCATCCCTGTTGGATTTCACACATATTAAGGAAATAAATGTAATAAGGGTAAATTTCACTGTTTCGACACTGTTTGACATTGTTTTGCATTGTTTTGCACTGTTTTGACGTAGATTTATTTCCAAATAAGGAAGTGGGAAGTTAATTTCGGGACTGCCCGAAAATGAAAGTGGGAAGTTAATTTCGGGATGGAGGTAGTATTAAGCTTTTTTCTATAAATCAAAAGCTTAATGACAATAGTCATTGCATATCTTGATGAAAAAAGGATTTTATACTTCAATTAACTCGAAAAATAATCCAAGACTGAACCAAAAGTAAAGCAATAAGCTTTTAATACATCAATAATATATTTACAGATAAATAGGTATGTATCATTATAAGTCAGAAATGCTGTCTTAACTCTGAAGAACAGCGACAACAAACCTTGATTGAAGAACTCAGCTGTGGTTCCATCAGATGTGAATGGCCAACTCCATGCATTGCCGCCAGTTGCACTTGGCACATATGAGACTATGCTGTTACTTTTTTCAGGCTCCAAAGTTGATTCATCACTGATGGTATACTTAGAGCTGTAACTATCCCAGCTTGAGTTCACAGCAGTTTTTGAGAGGACAAGTTGACCTTTGTTGACCACAGTATTCATTTGTTGCCTCTCATCTGTAAATTCAAAAGTACCATCATGGATAAAAATGGGAAATAATTCATAGCACCTTTGCTCAGTTATGAAGGTATATCTTGTTCCAAGTCAACTAAATACAAGTAGCTTTTAACTAATTTAAATGCATTTGGATAAATAACTTTGCTCTTCACATTTCAGTTTTGACTTGTGAACAAAACAAGTATACAAGTATGTTGGGGTCATTGGCATGAAATTTATGGGGTCAACCTAATTTAGAGGGAATTGGAGTTTGCACCCCAATTACTAAGTTTTACTCTGTATAACTTTTGGGACACAAATACTAATAATTACAAATGGGGATGAAAAATGAAAAATGGGATGCAAACTTCAATTTGGATAAAAAATGAAGAAAACATATGGAGATTCTCCATATACATTCTCATAAAAAGTGGGATGCAAACTCCAATCCCCAATTAATTATCTGAAAGACTAAAATTAATTAGTTTAACTATTAACATTATAAATGAATACTCTTAGAAAAACTTCAACCCACAGATAAGAGAATTAAGAGATAAAGTATCATCATCGGACCATAAAAGGAAGAAGATGGCCGGGTGGAATTAAACTGTTGACGTGGATTACGCCGTCTGGCATTGTGATGGTAAAGTCTCCGGCGGCAGCTCCGTTTCATTTCGTCAAACTCAGATAAGCCATGGAACCTTCGTTGAAGATTTTTTAAACAAAACTTTTAGTTAAACACAATAATATCATACAAAATCCATTCAGCTATTTAAACTGAAATTAATTAATCAAAGGACCATATATACCTGCTACACTGTTGGCAAAACCGAAGCTCAGCTCCGCCTACAAAGACCTTCGGGCATTTGGAATGATTATCACAAACTCTATGCTTCTGGTGATAACTTTTAGCAGAAGAAAGATCAAGATTGCAGCCGTCAACCTGACAGCGCAGGATTTGCGGAGAAAGAGCAGAAGACGGTTTTGCCCTCTTAGGAAAGACAGGGACGATGATGGAAGATGAAACATTGTTGTTCTCGAAATATGTTCTCCTCCCAAGCCTCAACCCTATTAATGGTTCTGCAGATCCAACAGGATGAGATGATTTGACGTTTTTCTCCTCGCCCTTCTCGTCCTTTCTGGAAAGTTCAATTTTCTCCGCCTTCTTGGTCGAGTTTTCTCGCGGGAAAGCATAAACACCACTGGAAGAACTGTCAATGCTGCTGCCATTGTGTTTAGAGCTGAGCATTACCATGCTTTCACAATCCCACTCCATTTCAAGAATCAGTTCCTCTTTTCTTTGCCCAGAAAATCACATCTTTTCTAAGGAAGCAAAAATGAGTATAACAAAGTAAAATAAAATACAATCCCAAATGACAAATTTCAATCATAATTTCAAACGACTAGCAGAATAAAGAAACGAAATGCAGTGAGTTTCCATATTTGAATCTCTTGTTCAATGTATGTATCAGTTCATGTCTTCATGATATGTCTGCATTTTCATGTTGATTTCAAAAAAATAACAGCAAAATAGATTTAAAAAAACGAGAGACCATTTCTGGAGGGACAATTTCTTGGGCTTTCGTGGAAGGAAAGCATGGCATTCCCGGGATTTTATTATCATTTCAAACCCAAGATTTCATTTCAGGGGCAAAGATAAAGAAAAGAAAGAAAATCAGTTTCCAAGCTTTTTGGAGGAGAGGGCGGCAAAGAAAAGCTCCAAAACAAGAAAGAACAAAGAGCAGTTTGAAGTAATAATGATGGGATGGGGACTTGAAGATGAGAACAAAGCTACAGAAAGGAGTTGCTTTTAGATTACCTCGCAGTAATGATGAAGAAGAGAGCTTCGCCTTTTTTTGTTGTTAAATAAGTGGATAAAGAAGGAAAGAAAGGCTACATATCCACAGAGGAAAAAATGGAGTGAATATTGGGACAGAAGATTCTGTCGGGATGCGGGATGTGGGGTGGGGTGGGGGCGGGGTAGCGGCGATTTCCTGTGTGGACTGTTGTGAAACTGAATGGGACGCGTGGAGGCCTCCCCTTCCACTTCACAGAAATCACAGCTTTGTTGCCTCTGCCATGGTTTTACAACGGTCCAATTCAACCCCAAGTAGTGGGCCAGGCAGGGCTAAGGTGCTTACAAGCAATTAAGCAAAAAAGAGATGACACCCATGAGCCTCAACCTCGATCCGACGGTACGTTGAAATGATGTAAATTGGCTTTTAATCTCAATCTGACAGATAGAAGGTGAAACTCTGTCCCCGCTAGTTGCAGAGGTCCTATGCATTTTTAGCATATGCTTATAAGCAATTAAGCATCGTTGGCAAAAAGGGCAAAACCCCCTTCAACTTGTCATCAATGGGCATCTAAGCCCTTAAAGTATTCTTTTATGTTAAAGCTTCAAAATCAGTGAAAGGAGGGCAATCACCCCCTTAGACATTTGGAGTGGTGAGGTATTAGAAGTCCAAAATATTAAAAATAGAATTTTTGAACTCCTAAATCATTATTGTGGTTGGTTAAATGGTGGAGTAAAATGGAGAAGGGAATGGAGGTTATGAAGGGTGTGGAAGAAGGGAGGCTAAAAAAAGGAAAGGGGTGGGGGCAGCATATGTGGTGGGCACAGGGGAAAAAGGTAAGTGGGTCATGTGGCTATTTGGGATGTGACTAGGAAATGTTTAGGGTGATGATGTAAGGTTGACTTTGTGCTGATGTCACAGAACACTCGATTTTAAAAATATTGGTAGATACAACGGTTGTGATGATTTGGACATTGTTTGAACGGGGAAAAATTGATCCAACGACTGAAATTAAAATCCAACTGTTAAAATAATTTATTTTATTTTTCCATTATTTTTAATTAATATTTTGTCCGAAAATCCTTTAATATTTTTCCAATGTGTTTGAACTTACTTCATCGAAAAACGTAAAAAAAAATATTAATGAAATTTGTGTTTTTTACATCGAAATGTGTCTTTTTTATTTTATGATTAATCAGAGAAAAATTAAAGGAAAAACATTACTTATAATAATATAATTAATGTTTTACTAAATTGATATGTAAAAAATGTGCAGAGTATATTTTATTGACGGTGCTGGAATGCAGAGAAATAGGAGTCAAAACTTTTCAAATGAATGGAATCCATTTTTGACATTTAGACTTTCCCACCACTCCAAATGGTCGAAGCAGTTAACCGAACTAGTTCGTTTGGTTATTATGACCGTATGTAGCGCAATTTTAATCTGACAACGGAAGTTGTTCCTTTTTAAATTTGTGCAAAATCCCCTTCACTTGGGATCAAATCCCATAGGCAATGTTCTAAAAGACGTAAGGCGTGACGAGGCGGCACGTCCAAGCCTTAAGTCTTTGGAGCCTGGGCGAACTTAGGCGGGGATTAGGCGTGGAAAGGCGTTCGTAGTTTTTACTCTTTATTTTAGTTTTCTAGAGGTATCAGTAATTATATAAATGTGATGTGTCATAATATCATACAAAAATATAATATTTTGAATTTCCCTACAAAGTAATTATTTAAAGTTTATAAATAATAGATATAGTGAAACACTCATATATGCTACAAAGGCTGAAAATATATTCCTATTGTTCCAAGTTTACTGCACGACGAAGGCTACTTCATTTCCCACACCGGATAAAGTAAACATTTATCATTCCAACATTGCTATAAATAAGAGCTCTTCTTCTTTGCATGGATTGTGGATAGGCGGTAGTCCTCATTGCTGTGGACGGCTGCCTTAGGGCTTGTTAGTCAAATCTTTGGGCCAAGCTTTGTGGGCCGCCTTTCTTCACGCTTTTAGGTGATGCGGGGCGTTTGGGTGTGCTTTGCACTTAGGCCCGCCTCGGCGGTGCCTTTTCAAGCCTTTTAGAACACTGCCCATACGCCAGAAATTCACACCCTTGCATCCGGGTTTTGCCCATTTTCCGGGTTTCGGCGGTCTGAGTTACGATCCAGGTTAATATGGGTCTCCGGGTAATCCCCGTCTCTGATAGATTAACGGGATGATGTCTAATCGGACCGGATTGGTCGCCAGGTCGCTCGGTTTCGGGTTGACCAGTCCGGTTCGGTTCTTTAAACACAGATCTCACCTATCATTCATATTTTACTCATCATTTTAGTTAGGGATAAGGGTCAATTTGAACACTATGCTTGTATGAAACTAAGGGGCAGGGTAGGGGTTAGGAGGATGAGTACACGTACGAGGTGATCGACCCCACATATTATATTACTACGTATATATTTGTGTTCACGAATGTTTGTGTGTCTATATATGTATAAGGTTATTTTGGACATTTTAATGTTAAACGGTGTTTTAAACCTTTTGAAGTAAACATGATCTTATAACATTGCTTATTTTATTCGTCGCTTATTAACGCGAGTCTTAATAAGCACCATTTAGTAACCTGTGAAGTAAACGTGTCAGTCTTCTGGATGATCATAGAATTGGGTGAAAAAATTGATGAACATGTTTTCAGATTTGAAAATGGAAAACTAGAAAATAGAAACAAAAAACTGGAGATAGAAAAACTGAAAAATAAAAACAGAAAATTGGAGAACGAAAAACAGAAGTAGAAAACAGAAAAATATCTCTGTTAGTAAACGGGCTCTAAGGTTTCAAATGAACCAAATTGGACAATTACTTGTGTGTCTCATATCGGACACTAAAATTTCAAATTGAACAAATTTTACGTTTTTCTGATCATTTTCGGACACCTATCAAAGATTTTCACCTTCAAAGATCACTATTCCGTCCCGAATTGAATTACAAACTTTGACTGACACAAGGATTAAGGAATGACAATAAATGATGCTTGTTTTTTACAATTTTGCTCATCTTCCTAAAAGTAGATGCCTTTAAGTTAATGAAGAAAAAGTAAAAGTAAGGGTAGAATTGTCATTTTATTCTTATTTACATACCTAAAATAGAAAGTAGAAAACCATTTTGGGAAAACTAAAATAGGAAATTTTGCAAATCAAATTGGGACGAAGGGGGTATAAGTATTCTTTTTTCTCTTGATTTTATGTACCTAAAAAATAAAAATAACTTAATTTGTTTATTTAGATTTAGAATATATAATTAGATGTTCCAAATAAGAAAATCTATTATAATGTAATTGAATTCTTTAATATTTTTAAATCGATCTAACAAATCGACATTTCTTAAAGTTCCATTAAATTTATATGAATGAAAAGTCCTAAATATATTTTCAAATTGTTAAATAAAAGAAGTTATTATTTGAAATCAAATTATATATTCTAAAACTTCAAATTAAATATTCCAAAATTATATACGTGATTAAATTGGTTTACTTTCACCAAAAAGGAAAGGAAATGTAAGATTAACGTTTTTTATTAAAGAAAGAAGAGAATCATAAGTTAGTGTTCATAAACTATGAATCATAAAATTTCAGTGACCAATATGAGATACATATGTAACCACAATGTCCAATTTGATCTATTTAAAACCTTAATATCTAATATGAGATTCTCATAAAACCATATTGTCCAATTTGTGTTAAATGTACAACTTTAACATTACATTTTATTTACTTTTTATCGCTGCAGTAGAGACAAATGATAGTTTAGACGTTTAATCTCATTTTATTGTTCTACGTGCCAAAATAAAATGTTACTATCAATTTGGGTCTATTAATTTGTATTTTCACATTCGAAATTGAAATATGCTGTAATTTGACTCCAAATGACATCCATTTTGTCACTTAGACGGGAAGTTAGCATTATTGACTTGGATTTAAAAAGTAATGTTTCAATACACTTTTCGTTCCTAATCTACGAAACTGCAAGATTATTACAATCATTTCAGTGGTTCTTCACTACTCCGTACTCCGTAGCTAACAATATACGTACTTTTCTCCTTAATGTTTTTTTCATTTTCCTTTTTTGTCAAATTATTCTTGACACTTATCCTTGAAAGTCCTAAATCCAACCCTCAACTATTTTATCATGGTAACGAGAGAGAAGCGCGGCTAGGGTTTAGCCAGCAATCAGTTTAGGGTCGGTGATTTCCCAATCGCTCAATGTTTCTTGTACACAGCGAAGAATAGGCGACGTAACTTCATCGAAGCTGCAGTGTTCTTGTGCAGGACAGGTTGCGGAGCTTTGATGTTGGTGATCTTTAGTCGTTGTCTTTCTTTCGTCAGTTTTGACTTGAGAATGAAGGCAAGCTTTGAGAAGAGTTCCGGCAGTTTGGCTCGCGAGTGGCGTTTCCTCTGTGTCGAATGGGAAGGAATAGCAAAATTCGTGTTGTCCGAGAATAATGGTGAGGAAGAGGATGAGGTATTAGCGATTCGCCCCCCTCCCGAGCCGCCGCCATGGAGGGAGGATTCAGAAGAAGTGGAGTGGATGCAAAAGAGTTCAAACAGTTGAAGTTTTACTTTTTTTGCTTATTTCTTTTCAGATTGAATTTGTTGTTTGTTGGTGTCTTTATTTCGTCGTACAATAAGGGGGAAGGGTATGTGTGGTGGTTTTGTTTAGCAAATAGAATTTTGGTTGGACTTAATTAGATTGATTCAGCCGCTAATAGCCTCTATGCTCTCATTGTTTCAGCGATTAGTCTCGCTCTTTTCAAAGTGGACTATTCTATGTCTAGTCATGACGTGAGAGAGCCAATGGACTTTGGTAGTGTTTGGAGAGAGGGAAATTTAGGTCTTGGGACATGTTTGTTACTCTTGTTTGGTTGATTTTAATATGAACTTGTTTCCTTTATTAAAAAAAAACTATTTTATCATGGTTGACTATGTAGAGCCCGTTTGCTAGTTTTTCAGGCTTATCATCCAATTGTTTCATGAAACATGTAGTTATTGATTCCGCACGATGAATTGTGTAATAATAAGAAAAATCAGGGTTCAAGTTACTTTTCTGGCTGTATTGGCTGAAGTTACTATAGAGAATCATTTTAGCTC